CTCTACGATGGCGACTACCTCCCGTACCTCTCGACGGCGTTTGTCGCTCGGGACATGGACCTTATCCGCGCTGCGCTCGGCCAAGACCTCATGCACTACTACGGTGTCTCATATGGCTCGTACGTGCTCTTGATATCGCGACATTTGTGCTCATGTTTTGTACGTCTAGGTTTCTCGGCATCACGTACGCCAACATGTTTCCAAGCCGCGTCGGTCGCTTCGTCATTGACGCTGTGCTCGACCCGGAGCTGTACACGGGTCCCGCGCCCGGTCTCATGGCCGGCTCCTTTCGCGACACGGACAAGATCTTTGCGGGGTTTGCGGCCGACTGCGAGGCCGCTGGTCCGCGTCTCTGTGCGCTCGCCGACAGCAACTCACCGCGGCCGTACCTCCTGTCGCGCTTGCAAGCCTTCTTGGCCAACGTGACGGCATCACCGCTTTTGGTGCCCGGCGGCGACGACGTGGTGCGGCTCACCGACACGGCTGTGCGCAATCTCATTGTGCCACACCTCTACTCGGCCATGCGCTGGCCGCAGCTCGCGCTCGAGTTCAAAGCGTTGATGGACGGCACGTACGCGGCCCCTCCGAAAAATGCCTCGTGCGACGACTTGGATGCGGATGTCGGCGTGGGCATGGCGTACCAAGCCTACATTGGCAACGACGGCGATTTCGACGCCAACGCCAACGCCAACTGGACGAGTGCGCTGCGAGCTGTGCAGAACGCGACGCGGGTGCTCTTTGACCCCGAGATGAACAACATCATGGCCGTCAAATTTTGGAAGACGCGGGCGGTCGAACGCTACGATGGTCCGTGGGGCCGAGCGTACGCCAACAAGGTCGTCATCCTCAACAACGAGCTCGACCCGGTGTGCCCGCTCCACTCGGCCCAGCACGTCCGCGACCTCATGGGTCCTACACACTCGGTGCTCGTCACGCGCGACGGGTACGGCCATGGCGCGGCCGTGAGCCAGCCCAGCGCCTGTTTGCACAACCTTCTCATCGACCTCTACTCGCACGGCGCGTACCCTACGAATGACACGCGTTGCGGTGTGGACCACGGGCCGTTCGATGCACCGACGCTGCCAACGACGATGCTTGATGCCATGATGCGCCTTGCGACCATGCGGATCAAAAAGTAATTGTGTCTAGTGTCATACATGTCATCCCCGCTTCGTTTGAGTCGTTATGGGAGTGGTGAGGGTGAATAGGGTTTTTGCCCGAGATGGGGCAAGGGTAACGTTCTGGTGCCAAGAGATCGTCGGCTTTCAATGGACGTAATGGACACCATTCGGCGTGAGCATTTACAAGAGTGGCCGACCATCAAGGCCAAACGCAAGCGACGACTGACGAGCGACGAGAGCATTCTGCGTCTTTGTACGAGATGTCGGTCGTTGGGGAAGCAGCTTTTCGATCCCGGTATCCTGCGGCCGTCTGTGCAAAATCTGTGTTTTGAGAGTCGCAGCGTGTTCTTTAACCAAAGAATTATTGAGCGTCGACGAGTACCCGACTCCAATAACAACGATCAACAAACGAGCTTCGCTTGTGCAAGCAGGTTTGTACCGCTAGAAACCAATTTAGTGGAAAACACCGTTTCAACCGGTTTCACCGCAAAGCCAGGCGACAGAATGGCAACCAGAGTCTGCCCGAGCGACGCAAGTGGGCTGCTCCCACGAGCGTGGGATATCCCTGACGCCACCGCGCCGGTCCGCGCAGCATTCCTCAAGGACCTTGGTGGCATTGGCTATGTCCTCGCTGCCGTCGGTCTCGGCTGCTACGCGCTCGCGGCCATGTCTCCGTACCTTGCCAACGACTTCTTTTTTGCCCACTATGCCGAAGCGTCGACGGCGCTAACCAACACGATCAACCTGCAGCTTTTGCTCACCCGTGCGTCGTCGCTCAACCTTTTGGCGGCGTCGTCCCGTCTCTCGACGCACGACGTTGTCGGCGTCAGCTACGCCTACCCCCGTCTCCTCATGTACCAAGAGCTGACGACCCTCGAGAGTGCGGTCACTGGGCTACGCAACCTCGACACGGTTAATGTTGTCTACATGCTTGCGCAATACTGCTGGGTCGACTGGGAAAGGCGCTGGGCCATGGCATCCACGCACGCTCGACAAGTCCGGTGCCAGCATCGGTACGCATCGAACGGCGCCGTCTATCTCGAGTCGGTGCTGCGCAACATTGATTTCCAAGCGTGGAATGCGTCCACCCAAGGCTTGTTTACGCAGCGAATTGGGCACGGTGTCGCCGCGCTCGACGACGGCCCCGCGTTTCTCACCTATCTGACGTCGCACCAGCTTCTTGACGTGCATGACGAAGTTCGCGTCTGGTCGAACGCGGGCCTCTCGTATTTTGCGCTGCAGTATGCCAACCAGTTCCAGATTGGGCTGCAAGAAGACATTCAGATTCAGAATGCACTGGGCTATAGTTGGCCGCAGCGCCTCAAGACCATTGCGAGCCTCCATCGTGGCACCCTCTGGACGTGTGACTACCTCTTTCCGTCGCTCCAGACCAACTTGAACGTCCCCGGCGGCAACCAAAGCCTCGTTCAGAACGCCAGCACCTTCTTTGGCCTCGCCAACGCCAACTTAATGGAGAACAGCGCCGTCGCGTACCCGCTCCCACCGTCCTTTCAAGCCGTGCACAACCAAATCGGTCCCATGGCCGCTATTGATCTACTCTGGGTACCGATCCCACCCGAACTTTACGCCACAATGCAGGTCTTTCGGTCTCTGGTACTGCCCTCGTTACGGCCCAACACGGCGTTTGCGTCGGCACTGGATGCCATCGGCACGACAGAGCTTCACCCGACACCGCTGCAATGGCAAGACCCGAATCTCCTCTTCTACGGCGGCAACCCCACGTGTGGCTTTGGCGTCGGCCTTCCGTTCGTGCAAGAGTCGTTCAGCTTTGACGACTCGTGTGGAACGCAAAAGGCGCTCACGTACTCGCTGTCGCCGATCGCAGGTCTCTTTGCCTGGACGATGCTTGGTGACGTCAACGCCACCGCTTCCATCTGTGCGCTTCTGCCGATCGCCGAGGTGCATGGCTGTGCGCAAGCACTGCGCACTGTCGAGGCTGCCGCATCACTTGTGCCGTCGCTCTCGGAGCTTGGATTCCCGACGTCGTCGCTTCCGCCACTGCAGCTCATGCAGTTTGTCGGTCGCAATACGTCGCCCGTAATTGAGACACAGCGCCTCCTCGAGGCTTCGTTTGCGTTGTTTGGCTGGCTGAGCGTTTACGAGTGGGTGATGCAGACGCGCGAGGTCGTCTCGATCGAAGGGGACGATGGACAATACGTACTCATGTCATCGGCGACGCCGCCGATGCCACTGTCGTCCTACGTCATCAGCTCCAGCTTTGGCATCTACTTTTGGTACTGCTCTGTGCTCGTGAGTCTCACGCTGCTCGGTCTGGCGATCTTTGTTATCAGTCTCTGGTTGTATCACCGGCCAAACCACGCGCCTTGGTTCAAATTCCAGCGCATCACGAGCGCTACGTGGCTCAACCGGACGTTGCTGATCGTTCGCGGTCTCTCGGCGATCGTGTGCTTGGCGTCGGCCAGCGTGCAGTCCGTTACGACTGCAACGGGTCAGTGGTTCGAGGCCGCACCTCGATCGCTGTTCGAGTCTTGCGTCTTGGCCGGCGAGGCCACGTGGATCACGTACGTCGTACACGAGGCGCTGCATCCTCTCACGGGCAATTTGACAGCTAAGTACGCACCCTGGAGCTCTGGGGCTGCGTGGTTCATGCTGGCGCTTCTCGACTTTGCAGCGCCCGTCGAGGTGGCTACGGCGCTCCATCGTGACTGCTTTTCAATCAACATGGACCAAATGCTCTACTGTGTCAGTGGCAGCATCCACATTGGGTACGTCCAGCGCACGCTGGTGCAGATTGCGGTGCTTCTTGGCTCTATCGTCGTCACGTACAGCGTCGCTTTTGCCTACGCGTCGTATAGGAATGTCGTCGTCGCCGACGCGCACAGTCCGTCGTTAGTGCTTTCGTCGGCCGCGACGGCCTTTCTGGACCACAATCAGACGCTGTACGGTCGCATTGCGTCGCTCAACATTGTGTCGGCGGCCATGTGCGGCATCTTGTCGATTCCTCGATGTGGTCTCTTTGACACCAAGCTCTGGCTGCCGTTGCCCGAAGACAGTTTTGTCATGGAGCGGCACCAAATACGCCTGGCGCACGTCGGCACGTCGCGCGTCCTGCCTGCTTGTAGCCCGACCAACTCGGATGCCGAGCATTTTGAGCCAAGCCGGCAGCGTGTGGCGAGGCTGGCGCTGCTAGGTGGCGTTGCGTATACGATCTTCAGCCTCACCTCCAACGTCGCCTTCCTCGCGGTGGCCCAAACCTTCTTGGCCAATGACTTCGGCTGGGCGGGCTTCAACAGCACCGGCATGCACGCCTTCTTGGCCAATGCCATCAACCAGCAGCTTCTCATCTCGACCAATATGACACTCGACTTGAGCAGCCCCGCGCTGACCGACATTTCGCAGCTCTACAATGACTCGATGGCGTCGATTGCCTGGAGCGCTCACGCTCCCCGGCGTCAGCTCCTGGACACCAGCGTACCTCTCACTCGTTTTGCGCAAGGCCTTCGAGACATGAACCCGTGCATGCTGCCGTGGATGTTCACGCAGTACTGCTGGCTCGACTTGGATCGACATTGGGCCATGGCCAGCACCACCAAGCGTCAAGCGCGATGTGTTGCCTCTCAGATGGACAATGGCGCAGTCTACTTGGAGATTCCGCTTCGCAACGTTCGTGACTGGGCCGCGTGGGACCACTGCTGGGGTGTCTCGTTTGAGATTGGTTTTGTGTTACACCTGCAGACCTCGCAGCATGGACAACAGTGGCTCTCGAATCTCAAACTCAACGTCAATTCTGTTGATGACGAAGTGGCTCTCTGGCGTCGATACAACATTACGCGGTTTCAGTTGCAGTGGCAAAACTACAAGACGATTGGCATGGTCGATACCTTCTCGATCACGTCGGCACTGGGCTACACGTCATCACTGACGCTGAGTCGGTCGGAAGCCAGCTTTCATCTTCTGCAGCAGACATCCCACCGCATGTACTGGGCGTTTGCGAGCGATCTATGGGCCATTGCTACCAACACGTCGTTGATTGGAGGATACAGTCTCCTCGCATCGAGTTCTAACTTTGCGTTTACGAATACCTCTAGCCAAGACGTTTTGTTCCGAAACCTAACCCTTACCCAGCCCTTGACACCCGGTTTGACCGTGCTGCAGTCGACCATTGGGCCATTTGGGTCGGTTGATATGCACTATATTTCGTGTCCACCGGCTGCGCTTGAGCTCTACAGCAGCTTTTCCCAAGCGCTCAACACCCTCCTTGTCACCAACACGACCGCGCAGACGCAATATTTTGCGCTCCCCGCCAAGCCTCGCGTCTGTTCGGTGCCGCCGTTCTTGAACAACGATCTCTCGCTCATGGCGAACGGGGGTAACCTCATGTGCGGCAACGACGTCCCGCAAGAGCCCGCGTTTTACGGCCGCCTGAGCAACTTTGGCGCGTCCAGTGCGTGCCACGCCCTCTTCTTGGATACGATGGTGCCCTCCCGCGCCGAGCTCTTCTTTGCGTTTCTGGGTCTACGCGCTGGGACTGGAACTGTACCAGATGCCAGTGCGCTCTGCGCCATTGATCCGTGCTCGGGGCTCTCGCCCTTGTGTCCCCTCGGCTTTGATCAGACCTTGCTCTTTCTCGCCGACTACGCAGTGGCGTTCAGTGCATTGGACGCCGTCGCCACAAAAGCGCACCACGTACTCTACGCTCTCAACATCCAAGTGATTCAGTACTACACGGCAACGTTGGACGACGCAGATACGTTGCTGTACCAAATCAACTTGCTCGACCCGACCGAGCCTCTCTGGGCGTTCTATGGCTGGTGCCACGTTTTCGAGTGGCTCGACGGTCGCCGTGAAGTCGTCTCGTTTCAAGGTGACGCGGGCGCGGTTGCATCGATCTCGTCCAGTGCAAATTTGATCCGGGGAAGCCCTGACCCGAGCGAGATTCCCGTCAGCTTTGCCACGCTTCTTCTCGGCTGCACGTTCTACATGACGGGGCTGCTCATCTCCATCGCGGGGCTCGTCACGCTCTACAGCGTTGGCCAAAAAGGCCACGTCGAAGGCAACAACTTGTATGAGATCAACCGCATCGTAGGGCACGTCTGGGCAGGCCGCACGTTCCTCCTCCTGCGCAGCATCACGGCGATATGGATGCTCAATACATCGCCGCTGCTGCTCCAGCACGTGGGCTCAGTCACGCACATGCGGTCACCCCCGCTTCCGTGGTACCAGACGATCCTCGCGGCGGGGGAGAGCACGTGGCTCGTCTACGCCCTCAATGACCTTGGCAGCTGCGTCACGCGGCAGTTCACCACGACGTATGCCTACAAGAGCTCGCTTTTGACGTACGCGGTGGTGTCGATCTGGACACTTGTGGCGCCCGTCTCGTACACGGCCGCCTTGGATCGGAGTTGCACCTATGTTGACATGGACGCGGGGTTGGTTTGCACCAGCGCCGTCATTCGCATAGGCTCTTTGCGGGGCGTGCTCAGTGTCGTGCTCATTGCGTGCGCTTGCGTGACGCTCTGCTATCGACTCGAGCGCATGCTACATCCGCATCTCGCACCGCCAAACGTGCACTCACTCTTCCTCAACTCGCAGAGCCTGTACATGCTCGACTTGTCGCACTGGCAGCACCACGGCGACATCTTTTTGGACAAGACGTCTGCTGTCCTCGCCGGCCTACTGAGTGTCGAGTACGATGATGACTTGTATATCCTCGACATCAAGACGTGGCGCGCCATTGTGGTTCCACATGCCACGTTGACCCAACCAATCACGCTGCAACGCTTTGCTCGGGCCATTCCCCTCAGTCGCATCTAGCCCCGAATCACCTAACCCTAATCGAAACGACACATTTTGTACACAAAGCCACGACCGCAGACACCATCAATACGACATAGTTAGTGCGGTGACACACTGAGACGCATTGTGTACAAGTCGTCACTTGCGCGTCGGAAGGTCTTTCATGTCGCGTTGTCGCCGCTTCTTGGCGCGCTCCTTGCGCTGTTCCTTGGACATGACGGGTCGACCGTCGGCGGCAATTACATTGCGCTTGGCCTGCAGCCGTTCCTTTCGCTACGCGATACATAGTCATATGGCCCCTGCATTTTGGATTGAGCGTACGGCGCGCGCTTCCATGGCTTCTTCGAGCTTCTTCTTCTGGGCTTCGATCTCTCGCCGCTTGGCTTCTTCGATGAGCGCTGCCTCGGTGACCGCGTCCTCATCGACCATGTACTTGCTGCGCCGGCACGGACAAAAGTAATACCGAAAGCAGCCCATTTTCCTCCTAGACACAGCGTTATAGGGCGGATAGAGCGTCGCATTGGGTCGACGTACCGCGCTAAAGCGTGCTGAGCGCGGCGCTTGGCCGCGATGGCTTCTTTGCTCTCGCCCTCGGGCTTGTCTTTCTCGTCTTTGATCGCTTGGAGAAGGGCCGCGCGCTTGGTCCACCACGATTCGCCCATGGAGTAGACTTTTAGGTTCTCTTGGAGGCGGTACACGGGGTATAAGAGTGTCGGGAATTGCTGGTTGAGACTCTCGAACTCTCGAAAATCAATCTAGAACCGTCATAGCATGGGTGAACAAGAGAGGTTGGCGCCGTACCTTGCCGTCGCCGCTAAATTGGAATTTCTCGAGCGCTTCCTTCATATTACTCGTGCCGCCATCGGCGTGCAGCACCTCGAGGAGCGCTGCGAGCTCCGCCTACGCGCACGAGTTGGAGGGTTTGGTGGTGGAGCGCAACATACGTCTTCGATCGTTCCGCTCTTGTCCAGATCAAAGACAAAGAAGCAGACTAGACAAGGCCACGTCAGTGCCGCCTCTCGCACGTTGCAAATACATTTGAGGATTTCTTGCGTGTTGAGAAGGCAGAACGCGCCAAGCGCCTCGACATACTCGCTAAAGTCGAGCTCGCCACTGCCGTCGATATCTACAGTGGTTGAGAGGCAATGCCCTGCGCTGAGAAGTGCACCGATGAGGGCAAAGACGGCATCGCCCACCGCCGTGCGCTCTTCGCGGACGCTGCGAAAGAACTCGTCGCGGTCGATGGTTCCGCTGCCACTAGTTGTCGTCGAAGGATACGTGAGTGCCTATGCTGTAGACAGTCTTGGGGTACTAGGAAGCACAGGATTGATGCCATGTTAAATAAAACCGGATTCAGCCGACCTCGTTGTCGGAGCGGCAAAAATGCTTGTACATCTTGCGCAAGTCGGCTTCCGTCACTAGCATAATGACGTCAAGAGTGCGCGACTCGAGATACCGACGTACATTGGAGCTTCTCGATCGTCTTGAGCATCCTATAGTTGTTACTTACGACCACGGGCTGGCCGCGTCATGGTACCGCTCATCGGGTGCCGGCACCTCCGTCCGCCAAAAGCCCATCGCGCCCAAGTGGTTTCACCAACGGTTGCCAAATTGAGTTGCTACATAGGACGACAACATCATCATGAAACAAGTACGATTGCACAGTACTCGCCGTCAATCAGGTGACTGAAAACCCGCTTGATAGACACGCAAAAGCTCACGCACGCCAACTGCAATGTGCAATGTCGATGTGTCACCGTTTGCAGTACCACGCGGTCTTGGCTGTCACGGCCATTATATACACGATATACAAGCAGAGACTCGTGGATATAATCATGTGTCTTCTCTGTTCGCACAGCCTGGTCGTGACGCCGAGCCGGTGCGCTACGGACGAGGCGCGTCGGCGAGCTGCGTGACCTGTGAGTAACCTTGTCCAAAGAGGTTTAACCCACGTTAAACGTACGTCGCGGTGGCGTTTGACTTGATTTCACAAATTTGCGGGTCGACATCAGACATGGCCCATGGCGTCGTCCGACTCCTGTGGATAGCGTGGCTGCTCGTACTCGCCGCCGTGACCGTGCATGGCCTCGACACCACGGGCGGCGTTGTCTACTGCTGGGCGGACGCGGCGCCGTCCACGATGTACCAAGGCGCCAACTGCGGCTTTGAGACGCTCCTCCTCGTGCCCAACGGCGAGCCGCGCCAGCCGCTGCAGGGCATTGCGTTCACCGCTAAGTACGTTGGCCCGTCGGCGCTGGGTTTCGACCTCGCCCAGATCCAGTTCAGCCGGCGCAACCAAAGCGAACCGCCAGCGCAGGTCGCCGACAGCTACGTCGGACTCTTCCTCAGCAACGAGACGACGTCCCAGGGCGACGCGGTGCCGTCCGCCTTGCCGTACCTCGCGGTCTCGTCGTCCGTGCGCAAGAACCTCACGGCCGTCGGTGCCACGAGCTTGGCGCCGCCCGAGCCCCTGCTGCTGCCCGACCGCGCCGGCGGCTTGATCGTCCTCGCGCGCTTCTCGGTCGCCAACCTCCAAGGCTCCACCTTCCACTTTGCAACCTTTCGATCCATTGACGTCCAGTACCCGATACCGAGCCGCTTTCCCGTGTACGCCCCTCGCCCACTTTGTATATGCCTTCTAACGACTGTGCTAGAACCTACGATGCGACGACCACGTACTGCTGGACGACCGACCAAGTGGCCTACGATCGGCTCGTCACTCGCGGCGACACGACAGGGTTTTCCGCCGACTGCCCCATAGCACTCAACGTTACGTCGCCATTGGCCGCGCAGAGCCTGTCGCCGATCCCGATCACGTGGTCGCTCCGGGTCCGCTCCGACTACGCGGGTGCGATGCGCATTTCGCCGAGCACTGTTTTGCACACGGCGGTGCATTTGTGCAGCAACGTCGACGACGGCTACTGCCACATTTTCAACCAAAAGCCGTACGCGGCGTCGTCCCAGGACCTCGCTGGCAACGTGAGCGAGTCCAGCCAGTCGGCGTCGTTTGCGACGACGCTCCTGAGCCTGCCCACGGGGCTCTACCTCGGGTTTGCACATGTCGTCATGCGCGGTCTCGACGGACGCAACGTGCACATGGCCACGTATTTTCAGCTCAAAGTCGACTTGACAACGTCGTCGGCCGACGACTCGTCCTTCGCGCCCAACACGACGTACTGCTGGAAGCTCTTTGCGCCGACCGCGATCCCTTACGTCTCGGCCGCCTCGATGCTCGGAACACACTCGACCGGGTCGTCGTGCCCTGCGGCGATTACACTCCGCGGTCTCGACGCCACGCCGGCGCTCAACGCCTCGACGCTCGTCGCGTGGCAAGTGGCGCCCGACAACAGCGCGGTGAGCCACCTCGTGGAGCTCCCGGCCAACTGGAGTGTCGCTTCATCGCGCGTCGTGACGTGCTCGGCGCCGTGCTCGCCGTTTACGGGGTCATCGCTCGCGAGCTCGCCCTTCACGCCTAGCAACGGGACGACCGCCGCCTCCCTGCGCTGGACCGTCCCGGGCTCGTACGTAGTGTACGCGTGGGCGACGCTCAACACGCTTCAGGGCACGCGCCTCGACATTGCGACGTTCCAGACGATTACAATTGCAGCGCCGACAAGCAACAATGCAGGCTCCTCGGCGCTCTCGACGACTACGATTGTGCTCATCGCCTCCACGTGCGTCGTCGCAGTAGCGCTCTTTGCGCTCCTTGGCGTGAGCTACTACAAGCAGCGTCAGCACAAGCGCATGCTCTGGACGCAGTGGCAGCTCTCGCGCGCCGGCCTCTACTCGTACGGCGGCAGTCCGTGCCCGATTGCGAGCCAGCACTCAGACATCCCGATCATGCAAGGCGCGGTCATGGACACGTCCCGCATTGCCGTCCACGACTCGTTCTCGGAAGCCCATGACGACGACGAGAGCAACCAGATGCGGCACAACGTCGACTTGCAGTACCTGCAACAGAACCGCATCGAGTACCCGATCCACCGCGGCCGCATCGCGTCGAACGCCACGTCGTACTATGGCATGGACCCCACGCGCCCGACGCGCACCAAGTCGAGCGCCTCGGCGCGAAGGGACCGCAACTCGTCCATCTTGTACGACCCGACGCGACAAGCCCGAGCGTCGTCCCACCCGGTCCTGGACTACGACCCGACGCGGGACCGGAACGCCAGCATCACGAGCAATCACCACCAGATGCTGATGCCACGGCCCTTGTACAATGGTCATGAGGCAGCGCCCGAGTCGCCGCGGCCATCGTCGGTCGCGTCGACAGGCTCGATCATGGCCACATATGGCCACTCCATGTACGCGATGCAGAGCAGTCATCCGTCCTAATACTACTTACGTGTTGTCGTTTATCGCGTCTCGGGTGCGGCAGGTACTCGACGGGTCGGGTCGCCGAGCACCGACACGAGGTCGTGCTCGAGGTGCTTCTCGCGCGCCCGGAGGTGCGCGACTTCATGCGCGTACAATTCGTTCATACGCTGGAGCGCCAAGCACTCGTGAAACATCTGCGTCATGTGTTGGTTCATGCGCTCGATCTTGCGCTCGCGGCTCGCGACAAGGGTTGCCAGGCGCCGGTCCGACGCGGGTGACGACCCTTGCTCGGAGGTCGCTGCCGTCTGCACTTGGCTCTGCAGGTCAAGAACGAGCTGGGTGGCGACCGTAAAGGCCTCGGGCATGGCACGCGTGGCGTCGTACTCGCGGCCAAGAGAGCGAAAGAGCACCGTCAGAAAACCAGTGACATCCTTCTCGATCTGGAGCCCGCGCTCGGTGGCGACGCGCAGCTCGGCGCTGAGCGAGTCGCGTTCGTTTTCGTGGGCTGTCGCTGAGCACTGGAGCTTCTCGTTGGCCGAGCGGAGGATCGCTGCCACACGCCGCGTCGCATGGTCGAGCGCCTTTGAAATGTGCAGCTGCTGGGGGTTGGTGGCCGCGACGCCGAGGAGGTTCAGCAGATCAATGACCCGCGAGGCGCAGCGCCCGTGTTCCTCTTGGAGGTCCCGCACTTGCGACGTGAGCTTCTTGTTATCTCGCCGACTCGCCTACAGTAACAAGTCAGCGAAAGCATGTGCCGATGTCACGCACCTCGCCAGCGTCGTCGCGCGCTGCGAGCTCTGCCTCCAGAATCTCCACCTTGTTGGCGCTCTGTCGCAGCTCGGTCATCTGGGCACGAAGCGCTTGTTCGGCAGTTGTGAGTTGCCGCTTGAGATGCACTTCAGCCGCGTGTGCTTTGTTGAGCTCCTGTCGGATGGCTGCGAGGTCGTCCTTGGCCTGCGTCGTCGCGTCACGCAAGCCTTTTGCTTCTGCGGTCGACGTAGCCTTGTGCTGCTCGAGGCTCCATACGTGATGCCGAAGATCAGAGAGGACGGCGACGAGCTCGATCGGGTCTTGGGACGCGCGCCGCGGACAGTCGACTGCCACGTGTTCTGCTATGTCGAGAATCATGCTTCGCAGTGTGTGTTGCACGGCGCGAAGCTCGACGAGTTCGGGGCTCTCGGGCGGAACCTTGGTCGCTTGGTTGCGCAACTGAGCTACGTTCGCCTTCTCCCGCGTCAACGCCTCCGTCAAGCTCTCGTTCTGGCGCTGGAGATCCTGCGTCCGGTGCGTTATGACTTGCTCAAACTGCTCGTTCATGCGCTTCATTTCGTCGCTCATTTGGACGGACCAGCGTTCGTTGTCGCCAATGCTGCGCACCAAGTCGTCGCGCTCGACCGCGATTGCGTCGACCTTGGCCGTCAACGCGTGGACCTCGTCTTGCAGCCGCGTCTCGCGGTGCTTAATCAATTCCAGCGCATGCACAGCGGCAAGCTCAGCTTGGGATGGCGCCGCACGGATGGATGCGAGGTTGCGCTCCATGTGTGCGAGCTCGGCCGTGCGCTGACCAAGATCCGCTTCGAGCTCTTCGATCACTGTTCGAAGTCGCGCGTTTTCCTGGACCAAGTGCACATGGTCGTCGGACGACGGCAGGCGCTCAGCAAGCTGCGTCTCCAGCGTCTGGATATGCGCCAGCTTTGCCTCGAGCTCGGCCAGCGCGTCCTGGTTGAGATCGCGAAGGGCGGAGATCTTGGCGTCGTTCTCGGCAAGAGCAGTCTCGAGCATCGCGACTTGATCGGCATGGGCGTCGTTCTGGTGCTTCTCTGTCAGTGTCGCGTCGGGCGCGGCCGTCTCCTGCATCTGTGCGAGCTTGAGATCGTCGACGGTTGACGAGAGCACGCGCACGTCGTGCATAAGCTCGGTGTTCTGGTCAAGAAGGAACGTGTTTTCCTTGCGCATGGCGTCACTGGACGACTGGAGCTCTTCTGTCTCGTCGCGGGCTTCGCACAGCAGTTGCTGGAGCGTCTGGTTTTGCTTCTCCACGTCCACAAGACGTTGGCTTCGCGCCAGCGCGTCCCGAAGCTCCACTTGCAGCCGATCTGCTTGATCACTGAGCGCAAGGTTGCGCTCTGCGAGACCGAGGTTGGTGATGCGAGCTTCATCGAGCTGCTTTTCGAGGCTCTTTAAAGGCTCGTGTGCCGACGATCGAGAGGCGAGTGGTGCTTTCAGACCGGCGACGTGGCTCTCCAGGGCGTAATTACGCGCGACGAGCGATGCATTCTCGTCCGTAAGCGCGCCGAGCTCGTGTTTGAGGTCGTCCAGAGTGCGAATGTGTTGCGCATCGAGGATCTCGCCGTCGGCGCGCAGACGCGCGATCTCGGCCCGGAGCTTGACAAGCTCGTTCGCCAACTCTTGGTTGACGTCTTGGAGCGCCATGGCTTGGTTCTCGAGCTGCTCGCGCATGACGTCGTGTCGGGCCGTCTTGACATTGAAATCGCGTGCAAGATCGAGGAGTTGGTTCTGCGCGGTTTCAAGTTGCTGCGACAGGAACGCCACGAGGCCGCTGTCGTTCGTAAACGAGTCAACGCTCACGCGAGACTGCCGTCGCGAACTCGCATCTTTGGTCTCGGAGAACGTCATCTTTTGCCGCAGGTCTTCAATGACCTAGATGAACGAACGTGACATGCAAGCAGCAGCAAGAAGAACACCTTACGTCAATGAGCTCCTGAACGTCGCCCTCGTGGTTTGTTTCTTGCGTCAAGCTCAGCTCGAGTTCAGCGTCCTAGAGAATGTCGCAGGATGGTCTGTACTGTCCGACCGACATGCTATTGGCCCCGTACCTTCCATCGCTTCATGATGCGCGTCTGCGTCTGGTACGACTCGTGGACAGCGCAGAGCTGCTCAAAGACGATCGGTAGCAGCGGATGCTCGTCTTGCCGCGCTTCCTATGACCACATCGTGAGCACGTGCGATACGAAGCGTGTTCCTACGAGGTTGGCGAGGAAGTTGGACTTCTCCGGGTTCAAGAGCGAGAACGACATGTTGAGCTCGTTCATCGTCATGCGCCGGTCGAGGTGCGCGTCGAAGCGGCCGTCCTGCAGCCGAGGATAGCGCTCGTCCACCTGGCCTCGCCATGAGCCCTGACGATGAGCGACGTCGTCGCGCGTGCGGTCGTACCTGCGGTGGCTGCCGATGCTTCCGTAGGTCGTCCTCCATCGAGGAAGCGTGCATGTCCATCGCCATGTCTTCTTCCTTCCGTGGACGTCCTCTGTACACGCGCGCTTGGCCTGCCCGCGTCCGCGCCGAGGTCTGTCGGTCCGTCGCTGGCGAATTGGATTTTCAAAACGCCATGCGATTCAATTGGCCCGTTCTCGCACCTCGCGTCTGATTGGTCAAAAAGGTGTCCATTTCAAGCATCACCCTTCCCGCGCTTTCGAGTCGACGCCGAACCAAGGTCCTCATGAGGGCATGAAGGTGTCGATGCAAGCTCGATGACAACTTGTCCTACCTTTTCATCGACAACGTACCTTTGTAGAGCTAGGCTCAAGAGCTGGGGTAGTGCAGTGAAGGACGCGCTTCATGGCACAGAAGCATGCAACACCCTCACGGTAGAAACCTTGGCACCCCATTCCAAGCGAATCAAGAGGCATTACGTTGTCTTATTGGGGGGCAGACTTTAGGGTTAGCTCAAAGACCGTGCTGAGCTCGTCTCCTTCGAGCGGCCACGTACGGCCGAGGGCCCCGACGGCGTTGGTCACGGACGGCATGGACGTCAGACACACGGACGGATGCTTCTTGACGACGAAGCCGACTTCGCGCGCCATAAAGACAAAGTGAGATGCAATGCAACGCGCAGGATTGCACTCGCCCATGCACGTGTCACGACACACGTCCATCGAGAAGAGCGCAATCGTCGACGCATGGGCGACCCACGTCACGGTTTCCAAGAGCGGGCGATGCAACCCGCGTCCGAGCTGCGTGATTTCGCTGCCCAAGACAATGTCATAGGCGAGGCCTTCGTCGCAAACCTTTTCGTCGCCCCACACGAGCTCGCGGGCGTCGATGACTTGGTTGCCGAGCCACGCGCTGTTCAAGTCAATGTTGGTCTGCAGCAAATCGGGGTATTCGTCCGAGAGCGTCACAGATTGCGCCTTTAGCGCAGCTGCAACGAGACCGCAGAGGCCACAGCCCGCGCCGAGCTCGAGGACGCGCGCAGATGCGAGCTTGAGGCTTGCGGCATGAACTTCCAAGTGCTGGCAGAGAAGATGGGCGCCTGGCCACACTTCGCCGCCGAGCCCATCGACCTGACGCGTATCTTGGATGACAGCGACCGTGATGTCATCGCCCGAGATCGCAGCGGACGTCACATACGAGCACTGGTGGCCTTGCTTCCGCGGCTGGGCCATGCTGGCAATTCCGATTTGGTTGAGGACATCACCCAATCAATCCGGCCATCGACATGCTAAACACACGCAACTCTACCCAGCACAAACCCGCCGACCATGGAGGTATCGCAACGTGAAAGTGGCGTGGTTTTAGCGCAACGGACTGAAACCTTTTGATTGGCCACATTTTGACCAATGAAACACACGCAGAGTTCATTTCCCACGAAAGATCCTCGGCCGCATGGCGCCAGTCCGCGCCGAGACGACGCCGGTCCATGTCCTCGTCAACGTCTGTGGCATGGAGGAGGAAGCGCTCTCTCGCTGCCTCTCCGTTCTCTCCGAGGTCTTCATGGCACTCTCCTTCCTGCGCCACTCGGCCGTCGTCGCCAGTGTCAACGCCATCGGCGCCGGCGCGCCGGTCCGTCGCCCTGTGTGCTCCATGAGCAGCCTCCAGAGCCAGATCGATGCTATCAAGAGTGCGCTTCCGCGCTCTCCTCTCTCACATCAGGAAGGGCGATGCTCGTGCGCGCAGGACTTTGGCCGCGTCGCTGAGCTTCTCTTGCAAGCCGACAGTCTCGTCCTCATCTTGACATCACCGACGCATCTGCCGGAGACACAACGCCTCGTGAGCTTATGGAAGGCGTCATCTTGCCGCATGGAGATGATTTTGCTTCGACGCGACGACGAGGACATTGGCGCTACGGTGAATGCGATCATGGAGCTCGTCGAGAGTATCGCAGCCTTTCCACACGTCTCGATCGTACAAGCCGAAGACAGCCTGCTTGATCTGCGCCGCACGATGGTATTCTCTACCTGCCTCCATCATGTGTAGATACGATGCATTCCTTGATGCTAGAAACCTTGGCTGCGACGCTTGCAGTCGTATGTACCGTGCACGATCGGCTTCAAAGAGAAGCCCATGCGCCTCCACCTCATCCTTCGAAGCGCCATGTGCTTCTACCGCGACGAGTCGCGCGCGTCCATGCATGCGGGTCTTGGGGCCATGACGGGCCTGCACTACGTACCACTTTCGTCCATCGACGGCAGCGTCGTCTTGGGCTACCCCCTCCACGCCGATGTGGAGCCAGCGCCGTCCGAGAACGCAGACTTGTGCATGGGGCTGCAGCACCTCTTGCAGACGAAGAGCGCAGCGCTGATCTTGCGATGCACCAACAACGAGGTCGATACATACCTCGAGGAGCGACACTCATGCCCTTGTAGCAGCAGGCCGAGTACTTTGCAATGGTGTCCTCGACATATGCCGCCTCGAGCAATGCTGTAGGCTTCGTCCTCTACCGCGTTGCTTCCATCGACCAGGTGCATGATCGCGACAACAGTCCATCGATCAAACACCAACATGTATTACTTGCTCACTTCCTAACGTTAGTTGACGTTTGCGAGCATGCCGGAGAGCTCGGACCCTAACCCCACCCACGCGGAGCGCATCGGGTCTATCGCCGCGACGATGGCAGACGTCGTGCCGACGCAATCGTTCAACCCGTATAACTACGCTTCGGGGGCCAGTGTGCGCCCGTTGCACCGCCCCCCGCCACCGCCAACGCCTCGTGTGGGTCGGCGCTTGCTATAACTTCTTGTTTGTGCAATAATATTGTGTTCTATTTAATACTTTAACAATTGACCATGCAGCGCGCAGCGAGAGGCCCTTAGACCGTGATGAGGTTGCGACGGTTGGGGTGCTTCTGCAGCTTGTGCGAGCGCACTTCGAGGCGCTCGCGGTGCTTCTGGAACTTGTGGCGGACGCTAACGGCCTCTTGGATCGTGCGCAGCTCCATGTTGCCTTGGCGACGGTTGAGAAACTTGTTGGCGAACGAGATGGTGATCGCGGTCGTGCTGGCGTCAATGCCGGCCATCTGGTACGCCAGCAAAAGGCGCTCCTTGGTCTGCGCCAAGACCGACTCGCGGACCTCGTCGGGGCGGTGGCGCTGCTTGTAGTAGCGGCGCAGCTCACGCTGGCCGAGACGCGCGCCGCTCGGAAGTACGAGTTCACCTGTCTCGGAGATGCTGATCGTCTTGATGTGGGCGAGCTCATCTTCGTCGTCGTCGTCGTCGTCGTCGCCTTCTTCACCTTCGACTTCTTCGACGTCTTCCCACTCTTGGCCGTCGTTGCCGTACGACGACGTAAAGTCATAAAACTCTTCGTACTCGTAGAGGTCGTTGTCCTCTTCGTAAATGAGCTTGCAGTGCGAGCGGTCAATCATGTGCTTTTGCGCGTCCTGGTACGTGCGGAAGACCTTGCCCTTCGTGTTGCAGTAAAGGCAGTAGTGGCCGAGCTTGACCTTCTCGACGAGGTACGTCATGAGGCCTTCGAGGTCCTTGAGGTACTCGAGGTCGGGCACGAAAAAGCCGTGCATCTTTTGCATGTGGATCAAGTTGGCTTCGAGCGACTCGGACGACTGCGTGCAGAACATGCAGTCTTCAAGCTTGAGCGAGATGTTGGCGTCCGGGTCTTCCTCCTCGTCCTCGGCCACGGGCTCGTCGTCCTTGACAGGTTCAAGGACCTTGGACGTGATCTTCTCTTCGCCGTCCTTCTTGACCGCCGCCATGTGCTTCTTGGTCGCCTTGTGGTTGTCAAGCGCCTTGGTGTTGGTGAAGCTCTTGCCGCAGTTGTGGCACTTGTAGCTCATGTCGACCGGCGGCTCCTTGGGCGCGGCCGCGAGGGCCGACGCGCCGTCGGCCTTGCGCGCCTGGAACTGCGCCTCCGTGACCGCAGGGAGGCCCACGACCTTGCGCTTGAGGTTGTACCGGTGCCAGTCGAGCTTGAAGTGCTCCTTCTGGAGCTCGTACGTCGGGAACTCTTCCCGGCAGGCCGTGCACGTCAACATGGCGGATTTCCAAGTATGCTCGAGACCCGTCGCAGTGCTATTTTAATGGGAAAATCCAATGTATTTTATTTCGTTTGCTACGTATTCAATACAAATAATGAGCTTGTTTTGAATTTAGCTTTAAAAGAATCAACAGAAACAATTTTCGAAGCCCAATCCAATCAACTTGAACACCAATCAAATCGCCGGACGCCGTTGATTGGTCCATCGTTATTGCTCTCCCGGTTCCGGCCCCCGTCATGCCCCCCCCGGGGGACCTACCAAGAATACCACCAGGTGTGGCACATCGCACGATCACGCATGCAGCACACCATCGTTGGTTCACATGCCATCGGAATAAACGTAGAGTAGTTGTGTGTCTATGTACAGACGCCTTGGTCTTGGCGAGGCGCGCAGCTATGCAAAGTCGGCAATGATACGGTATAACGCAATGACTTTCGACGAAAATGGCGACCGAAGAAGCCAAGCACCTGCGCTTGCCGATGTGAGTACATTGCACACCTGAATACACTATGGAATGGAGGTGGAGGCGAGTACACACCAAGTCCTATGCACGAGCACCTGCCAATGGCGGATGTGGATGCAAGCACCTGCAGAGGCTGGTGGCGCTCTTTTCACATGGCCCGGTACCCTCAAAACGCGCTGCAGAAATTTCTTGCGCGCGCCGCACATGCGGCACGTGCCTGCTTAAGTTCTTATTGCGCCAAAAGCGCACTTGATCGGGTTGTCACGTGATCCGGAAAGATTTACGGGGACGCATCACACGAAGATTCGCCAGCGATCGACGATGGCCATGTACCTGCGCTCGACGATGGCCCGCGCCTTGGGCAAGCGGTCGTTTGCGACGGCGGCGCGCGGCGCCTTTGCGACGCTCGAGGCGGCGGACGTCGCCCACCTCCGTTCGGTCTGCCCGAGTGCGCTTACCGACCCGGACGAGATTGCACCGTTCAACTCGGACTGGCTCAACAAGTACCATGGCCACAGCCAGTTGGTGCTGCGGCCCAAGAGCACGCAAGAGGTCTCGGACATTCTCAAGTACTGCAACGAGAAGAAACTCGCGGTCGTGCCCCAGGGCGGCAACACGGGCCTCGTCGGCGGCAGCGTGCCCGTCCACGACGAGATCATCCTCTCGCTCGGCAACATGAACCAAGTCGAAGCGTTTGACGAGACGTCGGGTATCATTGTGTGCCAGGTAGATGCACCATTCTATCGACGAGGCAAGCGTCTGACCAAGGACGTAGGCGGGCTGCATCCTCGAAAACCTCGATGCGTATGCTGGCAAGTACGGCTACATGATGCCGTTGGACCTCGGCGCCAAGGGCACGTGCCAGATTGGTGGCAACGCAGCGACCAACGCGGGCGGTCTTCGCCTCTTGCGCTACGGGTCGCTCCACGGCTCGATTCTCGGTATCGAAGCAGTCCTTGCCGACGGCACGGTACAAGCCTCTACCTCACTGTCGTCATGTCTTCTCACGCACCCCACATGCAGATTGTCGACTGCTTGAGCACGATGCGCAAGGACAACACGGGCTATGACCTCAAGCAGCTCTTCATTGGGTCCGAGGGTACGCTCGGTGTGATCACCAAGCTCTCGGTGCTCACGCCGCCACGCTCGACGGCCGTCAACGTTGCGCTCCTTGGCTGCGAGACGTTTGAGGACGTCAAGAAGGCCTTTGTGCAGGTAGATAGCCCATCGCACTCGAATCTCGTTCTTGTGTCTCACATTGCACTACTGCTGCATTAGGCCAAGAAGAACCTCGGTGAAATCCTCTCGGCCGTCGAATTTATGGACCGCGCGTCGCTCGACATGGTCATGTCGCAGCAGCCGTCGCTCGCCGACCCACTGAGCTCCAACTGCCCGTTCTACGTGCTCTTGGAGACGTCCGGCTCGAACGAGACGCACGACATGGAGAAGCTTGAGGGGTACCTAGAGCAGGTCATGGAGGCCGGCACGGTCGTCGACGGCACCGTGGCCCAGGACGCGGCGCAGGCCAAGAAGCTCTTTGGCATTCGCGAAGACATTACGCTCTCGCTGAGCTCGCGCGGCCACGTGTACAAGTACGACCTCTCGATTCCGATCGACGAGTACTACACGATCGTCGAAGACACGCGGTCGGCGCTCGCGAGCCATGACGCCAAGGTTGTGGCCTTTGGGCACCTCGGCGACTGCAACATCCACCTCAACATCTCGACGCTGGCGTACGACGACGCCGTGCAAAAGGCGCTCGAGCCCTTTCTGTTCGAGTGGACAGGTCGGTTTTCTATCAATGTTTCAACCGCGTATCGAGTTGACACACTCCACGTAGCCAAGCGCCGGGGCAGCGTTAGCGCCGAGCACGGCATTGGGACGCACAAACCGCACTTTCTGCACTTGTCCAAGTCGCCCGAGGCCATTCGCATGATGCAGCAGATGAAGTGCGTGTTTGATCCGAACGGGATCCTCAACCCCTACAAGGTAGTGTCCATACTCGTCGCATGTCGCACTCACAAACTACGTTCTAGGTGTTGCCATAAGGTTACGTACTCTTAACAATCGTTTTTGCATCGATCTAGTATAGCTTGGTATGTGTGTCATGGTGACCGCGGTGGAATGGCCGTCGCAAGAGCCAGGTCCAAATGCGAGAAGCGCACCGATCCAAAGATACGTTCGGGCAGCTCGGCTTCGCTATTGCCTTGGAGCGTCAAGCTCAAGTCCACAACCAGCCGCTCGGCGTAGCTAGATAAATAGGTTCGCTGAGGAGGAGGAGCAATCAGCGACGTACCCGCGACACAGGCTCACAATGTTGGACGCGATCGCGCTCGACCCAATGTCCATGTCGACTTCGACGTAGTTGCGGCCAACGAAATAGCGCTGCGTGAGCTTGGAGCCAGTGATGGCTGGCTTCTGCGGCACGGCGGCCTTGATGAGCCACGGACCGTCGACGATCGTCGGCACGAGCTTGAAGCGCGCGTCTTGGAACGCCTGCGCCTCGGGTTCGTTGCTTTGAAACTGAGAAAAGAGTCCTGCAAACTTGGTGTCGCCGGAGAGGCCCTCGGCGGGGAGCCGCCAATACGACACAACGTGCACGAAGGGTGTCCCGGGCACCTACGCTCCCGCTAAGGATGACGACAATACAATGAACTTACAACTACCTGCAGATTGACGATAAAGATGGTGTCGTCCGGGTGGGCCTTGGCACTCGAGGCGAGGAGGCTCTGTGGGCGTCGCAAGTCGAGCTCGGCGATGTGGTCTTGTCGGCCCGGCATCTCGTCGGTTGCTTTCCACATGTCGACATGCAGCAGCGTCCCGAGGCAGTCGCCTGCCCGTACTTTCTTGCCATCGATGGTGTACGAGAGGCCACGCACGAGCGTCTCGGAGGACGATGGTTCGGAGAAGAGGTCGAGCATCGGTAGCCGCGCTTGGCACTGCTTGGTTTCTTCCGGCGACCGCACGTGGAGGCGTGGCAAGGCGGTCGTGAGCGTCGCCGGCAGCGTCTCGGCATTCGTCTTGGTGCCCATGTTGGTCGGTGCGTAATGGCGGATCGCCGGCGCGGCGGACGAGAGGCTACACACGAGGAGGGCGAGAAGTGTCTCGCACGGCAGGAGAAGCCCTTCCAGAAAGATGCCAAGTGCGTCGGCCGCGATGTCGCAGGCCGTCGCCATGCCAAGCTACTGTTCTTTTCGAGGTGGCCCTTCGAATCTGAGATATTCCACGTCTCGTGATTGGTTCTATTTTTGCAAACCAACTTCAACCTCCCAGAAAGGGCAATGTCAGCACGCATCAGGAGGCTGCCACGTACTTCTCGTTCTACTTCTTGACCCTCGCCAGCCTGCGATGCACCGCCACCGCAGCGTGCATGGAGCCCATCGACCATGTCGCGCGATCAAGGCGCCCAGAGAAAATGGTGTCTTGCGTAATCAAGATTCAAATGATGGAGAGTCAGGTAGTATGACCATGGACAGAAGCTGCGACCGTATACATGGCCTTCACGCGCGGGTCCAAGAGCACCTCGAACTGCATCTGGAACGGCCGCGCGTCCACTGCGCAGCGTCGCATGGAGGGATACGTGCCGTGCGTAAAGAACGCGGTGAGAAGCGCGTGCACGCAGCTACTCGGCTGGCTTACACTCGCGCCGTGACCATAGCCATCGCGCACCACGAGCGCAGCGTTGGTGACCCCGAGCCTGCGAACGATGTCCTCTGCTGTCGCCTTGGTCGCCCATGCGTCGAGCTCTGTGGCCAGAACCAAGATACGATTGCGATACAGAGTTGACGCCAATGGCATAGTACGGGGTGGTATCCTCTCGGAACAAGCAATGGGATGTGACGCAAGCAGTGGAAGTCGAGCGACGTCACGCCACGCACTTGCGCTGGACGAAGGACACTTGACATCATCTCGCCACGACGCGATGTCGACGCTCTCGTTGCGCAGGAGCTTGGTCATCGTGGATGCCAGCCGCGGCCATCGACTGGGCACCGCCATTGCCCGAGCCACGGTTCGGCGCAACACCGACCCTTGGAGCGTGTCGCCTGTCGCTGTCGTCCAGGGCGACGCATCAACACGTTTGAGGAAAGCTGGCAACTGACCCACCGGCAGCGACGCGAGCGGGCAGCCACCTGCGCCGGCCACGGCACACTCGTTCAGAAAGGCGCGCAGTGTGGTCTCGAGGGTGACCAAGGACACGTGTCCGTCGTCATTTGGTATCGCGTCCAGAACGATGCGGCCAACCTTGTCGGGAAAGGTCGTCGCGTACGCAAGCCCGAGGCGACTACAGTAGAGCGTGCATGAGCATCTACTGTCGTCCAAGCTTCGAACCGTACGCGCCATCCGAGAGGCCAAAGTAGTGCAAGACGTCGCTGTGCACGGCACGACGAAGTGCGTCAAGGGCCATGACTGATTCTGCCCCATCCTGGCGCCCGTCCGACGTTGCAAAGGTGTGTGCATCGAGCGCTACAATGTCATAGAGACCGCCCGTGAGCAGTGCGACGCTGGGCGTGGCCATGGAGGCACTGGCGCCGCCGCGATGCACGACGATCGTCCCTTTGGACGCTGTCCCCGGCGGGACCATGTACGCTTGGACGGCCAAAGCGAGGGGGTGGCCGGGCACAGTAAGCGTGCCGCAGCGGTATCGCATGTCGATTTGTCCGCAAGAATCACGCCAGTGGAGCGCGCTATTTGGGCGGCGAAGAAGCCAGACCGAGGCGTCCAAAACCACGGCAGTCGGCAAAAGTTGCACGTACAACACGAGCAGCGCCAGCAGCATATTGACAAATGACCGTTGCGACGCCTGCCATAGCGGAATGCGTGCGATAAGGAGTGTTGGCAAGGTGGCCCCTTCAACAACAAGAACTGAGCTCTGAACGCTCGTGTGTTGATGTGTGGGAGCGACTATTCTTGTGTACTAGTAGGTGCTTATGGACGCCACCAACCCTTGACTGTGGAATGTGCGTCATGTCAAATATGTCTTTGGCCGAGTGTATCAAGAGTTCTTGAAAACAACCTTGCCTTCAAGGGCTGGATTGGTGTCGGTTGGCACGGGACCTACTAGTAGTAAAGCTAGTTCACCGTCCCACAAACTAATTCTGCAAGAGACATGAATAAATCGCATTTTGATATGACATTGTGTACAAATATTTTCGCTCGGAGAAGCCCAAAGGTCTTACAGACTGTGTTGCCACTTGGTCACTCTGGCTACACTGTAGATGAGGTCGAACAGCAAGTCGATACGAGCCAAACTTGGCGCTGAAAGGCTCTGTTGTGGCCAATGTCTCGTGCGACGATGAAAGGGGCTCGAGAATACTACCCCATCCGTCCGATTCGATGATAACGGGGTGACCGGGTAGGAACTTTTGTATTGAATGCGAAGCGTTGATTCACGGTATTGCGACGACGGCGCGTTGGCCTAGACAAAAGTCAACACTCGACCTTCGCTGTGCTGCGGCCAACTCGCCGTCGTCAGTCTTCGCGCGCTTCTGAAATCGCACCTAATCGGAAAACTGCATGAATATCAGTCAAGTACGCTGGCGCACTTAGATGAAGTAGATTCACTTTAATCGAGTAATTCGTCCCGACAATAGACAGCACTTAATGGGACTGCAAATTCGCACTTCACGGGACATGCTCCACGCGATGTGATTAGCCTAGACCAAAACAATTGCGTTTCATTGGCCAAATGGCTAGATATATAGCCAATGGGCTGGCCAAAAAATACGAATTCATCCTTGGGATGCTGGCAAATGGATCGAACTTTCGGGCTGTTGGCGGCTCCGTTATTCAGTCGGCCACCAACCTCCGACGACCAAGCATGGCCCACCGAGCGCCCACGACCCGCGCACCGCCCAACGGCCCGGACGGGTTTCCGCCAATGCACATGCTGCAAGCCATGCTCAACCAAGCGCAACGCTCCGTCGACAAGCTCAACAAGATCAACGACAAGAAGAGAAACGGCGACAACCACGCAAGCGACGACGATGACGATGCATCGGACGACGACGACGCATACGACGACGACGGCAACGCTAACGAGCGCCTCGACATGTTTGGCAACCCGATGCCCCGGGCCACGCGCCGCAAGCCGGCGTCGGCGGCGCGCCTCACGCTGCGTCTCAAGCAAATGTTTGTGCCCCGGCGCTGCGAAGTGGTCGACTGCGACCTCGACGGCGCCGATGTCAAGCCGTGCGCCAAGTGCCGCTGCGTCTTTTACTGCGGCCGCGACCACCAGCGCCAGGACTGGGCCCGCCACAAGATCGACTGCAAGCACATTGCGAGCCTCGGCCTCTCGGGCATCCCGTACGACGAAGACGAAGAGCTCGAGAAGTTTCCATTTGACGTGTTTCCCGTCGTCAACTCGACGGTCGACACGTGCTTTGTCTGCGGCGCCGGCGAGAGCGAGGTGCATTTGGGCGTCACCGAGTGCTGCGGCCTCGTCGTTTGCGACAACGAGCACGAGTACCTCATGGGCAGCTACAGCCGCAAGCACTGCTGGCGGTCGCACGGAAAGTACGACTGGCTTGTCTACCCTACTGACATCGCAATGCTAACAACTCGCTGCAACGTAGATATACGACCTGCGGGTTTCACAAGAAGGAGGGCCACGGTCACCCCGACTGGCGCACGTGCCCGCACATGGAGTGCGTCAAGCAGCGCGAGAACCGGTCGGACCCGCGCGGCGGCGGTGGCGGGCGGAGCTGGTACGCGACCAACGGCTTCAACGCGACGCCGATGCTCGCCTCCGACATTCCCAAAGGCAGCATGCTCACGGGCAAGTGCGCGACGTGCCCACGCCGCATTGCCGACGGCTGGGACAACGTGGCGATGACCAAGGATGGCACACTCTGCACTGTCTGCGGCAAAGTGCCTCCCGGCGCGCCCCCGGGTGGTGTGTCGTTCCAACTGCGCTAAGTGGTCTCGCCACTCAACGATCCAACTATCCAAGTATCCAAGAACCGCAAACACGATACGTATTAGCCTACGACGTCGCTACTCGATCGGTTTGCTCAATGCTCCATGATACCACGTGCCTTTGTTTCGGGCAGCCACTTGTAAAACACAGCCAAGCAGACTGCGTACGTCAAGCCATAGCCACCAAAGGTCGCGCCGACCCCAATGCTCTCAAAGAGCGAGAGCATCGTGCCGTTGATGAGGAGCGAGAACGCCGACATGGCGAACGTGCAGTAGCTCATGTAGCGCGCGCGGACCGCGCCATGACCAAACATCTCCGAGACGATGAGCACAAAGAGGAGGCCCGGGCCGCACGTTTGAAAGACGACGAGGAGCGCGAGCGCCAGAATGAGCACGTTCGAAGCTGCCGAGTGCGGCGTGTCGATCGACGGTACAAATTCAAAGAGCACAAAGCAGGCGAGAAAGGCGACGACGACGACCGTGTGCGTCACGAGGTAGATGTGGCGCCGCGAGTACTTGCGCACGAGGAACACCATGGCAACGACGACGGCGAGCACCGAGAGGAGGCAAAAGCTCATGCCAACAAGGTTCGAGTCGTGGCGCGAGAACGATGCCGACGACTTGGACACGATCTGCGGACCATAAAAGAGCGATGCGTCGATCGAGTTGTTGGAGTACGCAAGCAAAATGCCGATCCAGAGTTCCCGCACCGAGTGGGGGCTGCCGAGAGACTCGGGTGTTAGCGGCGTCGCATCGTTTGCGTCCAGTCGCGCCTCGAGCGCCGAGGTCGCGGCGAGGTCGTTCTTGTAGCCGCGCCACGCTTGGCTTTCCTTGAAGAGACCCGTGAGAAAGCTGGTTGCAATCGCGGCGGCGGGCAGAGAGCCCAGCAGCATCGTGAGGAGCCAGCTCTCGGAGAGCAAAATGACAACGTACGGCAGCACCGTGCCCGAGAGGACGCTAGCCATAGCCACTGGTCGTGAGGCGACAGGCGACGAAGACAGGAGTTGCCTACCCGAGCTGGTAAAAGGCGACGGCCATGCCACGCGTGGCCGTGTCCGTCCCCTCGGCAATGTACATGGGCAAAATCAGGATCGAGAGCCCGTTGCCGACGCCGGTGCAGAGCCGCCAGAAGAGGAACGCGCCAAAAGAGCTGTGCCACGCAGCCGACCCGACCGCGCCAAGCATGGTCATGGCGCACGCGAGCAAAGCGACGTTGCGCCGGCCAAAGATGTCGGCGAGCCGCCCGCCGATCAGCATGGCCGCCGCGTCACTTAGCGTCGCGGCCGCACTGGCCATCTCTTGGTGCGACGTTGAGAGGTTCTATACGAGACGCACATGAGCGATTCGTCGACGCACGATGGCATGTACGAGGCTGTCGGCAATGTAGGGCAGCGACGGCGCAATGCTAGGCGACATGAGCGGCGGGATCAAGCGATGCATCTACCTGACGTTGTAGCCGTAGATCATACCGCCGACGAGGCTGAACGCAAACCATAGCGGCGGCGCAAGACGGTACTTGTGCATGGCGGCCGACGGAAGAACGGAGAGTAAGTGCTGGCGCTCGCTGCTCATCGTCGTTGTGACCCAGGTGATGGCCGACAACCACACTGCGATCAGTATTTCAGCCAATGGCCTTTCGCAACGGCTGTTGACACGACGGAATTTTAGCCAATCCTTGACGTTCATCGAACGCGGCCTTTCTGTGTTTGATTGAAGTTGGGTATCTTTTGCGTTTAGAGAAAGGACAGAGCGGCGCAGGAGTGTAAGTGTATTCAACGAGCATTTACAGTCGCTTGCGCAACGCGTACGCGATCGCTGGCAGCAGCACCAAGGCGGCGCCGGCCACAAGGAGCGACGTCGGAATACCGTTGGTGGCCGGCGGCGCCGGAATACCCCGCGTCGACGACTTCTTGCCGCTCTTGGGCGACCGGGACGTCGTCCCGAGGTCTTCGATATCGCGCTGCACGGGCTTCTGCACGCAGCAAAACCGTCAATGAATGCCAACACGATCGGTGAGTACCTTGGTCTTGGGAAGCGCATCGTCGAGCTTCTTGACCGCGAGCTGGCCGCACGCGCCGTCAATGTCCATGCCGTGGTTCTCGCGCACCGTGACCTTGATGTTGTACTCTTGGCGGAGGATGCCGTGGAAGGCCATGATCTCTTCCTTCGTCGGCGACTGGTACTCGGCGTCGACGTCGGTCGCATTGTACGGGATCAGGTTGACATGCTATATCGCAAGCATCTCGTCATCGACATTGAGCAATTTGGAGATGCATACCACCGACCGCCCGGCGAGCAGCCGACCGAGGTCGTGCGCGGTCTCCAGCGCGTCGTTGACGCCGCGCAGCATGATGTATTCCATCATGACCATGCGGTTCTCACGGTCTTTGAGGTGGTCGTCGATCGCCGCCATAAGCTTATCGAGCGGGTACGCTTTCGCCGTCGGTACGATCTTGACGCGGATCTCCTGCGTCGGCGCGTGCAGCGACAGCGCAAGGCGGATCAGCGGTGCGTCCTATATAGCCATATTGAGAACTGCGTGTTGCTTGACGAGAGACCTCTTTGAGCTGGCGAATGCGATGGATGACACCGACTGTCGAGAGCGTAATGTACTTGGGCGCAAGGCCAAACACCGACGTCATGGCCTTGATGGCGCCGAGGACGGCGTCGTAGTTGTTGAGCGGTTCGCCCATGCCCATGAAGACCACGTTGCGGATCGGCGCCACGCAGAACGCGTGCGCAAGTTGCTCGAGGATCTCGCCGGCCGCCAAGTCGGCAATGATGCCCATCGTGCCCGTCGCGCAAAAGGTGCAGCCCATTTGACAGCCGACCTGGCTCGAGACGCAGAGCGTGTTGCGGCCCGAGTGCTTCATGATGACGGCCTCGACGTTGTGGCCGTCTTGGAGCGTCACGAGGAGCTTTACAGTACCATCCCGCGACACGTGCTTCTCGGCGATCGTCGTCGAGAAGATGCGAAAGTTGGCTTCGAGGAGCGGGTAGAGCTCCTTGGGCAGCTGCGGGATGTCACGGATCGAGACGTTGGCGTTCTGCGCCTGAACCTGCGACGCAATGTACTTCCAGATCTTCTGCGCGTGCACCTGCTTCATACCATGGGCCTCGAGGAACTCGGGCAGCAGCTTCGGGTCCAGGAGCGGCGCCGGCGACAGGACACGCTTCTTGACCATACCGGTTGATTTTTCGATTGGACCAACCACCAATCGACCAATCGCGGCAGAGATCGCAATGTGATTGGTTGAAATTATACCGTCGGACGGCAACCATCTTCGCCGACGCCACGTGGGCTCTGTCTTGCACACGTGTACAAGTATATTTCTCAACTAGTCATAAATTTAGTAGCAAATCGTCGTCGGAGTTGGCGTTAGCAATCGGTAATGATTTCCATTTCGGGTTGAATCTGGCCTTGTCGCGGTTAGGTGATGGGTAGTATTATAGACGCGCGCTCTCGGTTTGTGCTCGTTGATGGTGGCCCGAGTAGCCGCGTTGTCCCAACTGCTACTCCGACTGCTCGACTTGAGCTCGACTTGAGCTACAACATCTTTGATTCCACTTCACTCTATGCTTTATAAGCCTCAATACATGCTCACGACATTTTCGCGACGCCGAGGGCTAGGTGTTGGCTGCAATAGAGGCTCCCTAGACCAACTCAACGGGAATGGCAAGGGAATGACGAACTTTCGTGGGTCGGTTGACGTGTTGTAAGCACAGGACACAGGCACGCGACAGCTGTGTTTTATAAAAAATAAATAGGCTGTGCTGCCAAGTCTCGAATTGTTGGCGGCTACCGTGAGAGGCCGACGGGTGGCTGTTGCTTGGGCACAAAGGCGGGTGACTCGAGCTTCAGGCTCGACTCGACACCCGACGGCACAAACACCGGCGCGCTCGCGTTTGGCACTTTGGTGGGCTTTGGAGCGTCGGGTTTCGGCGCCTTCTTTCGGCGCGAACACTTGTGTTTCTATGCCATCGCTGAGTCTTTTGTATCAAGTTGATATGTCAATACCTTTTTGTTTTGCTCACACGTCGCTCGGTTTTCGTCCAAGAGGTGACTAGACACAGTACGCGCTATAGACCACTGGACAACGTATGTCCAAATTATACCTCTGCACATACACCTTGGGGTTGAACGGGTGGTCGTCGGAAATGATAAAGTCGGCTGGGTATTGCTCCAGGAACTTTTTGAGCCCGCCAAACTGCTCCTTGAGGGCCACCGAGAGCGTCGAGTTGGCGGTGGCGTCCTGGAGACACTTGCCGATCTCACCGATCGGGAGCGGACCCTTCTCGTTGAGAATCGCCACGGTCTTGGTGAAGACAGCGTGCGGCGTCACGTGCCCCTGGAGCAAAAAGTCGCACATGAGCACATGGCATCTACACAAGGTGCGTCACGTGAGGGTCACGGACGACGCCGTCTCGAGTTGTACCGCAGCGCATCTTCGTCACCGCAGAGCGGATCGATGCTTTCTTCCGCCTCGGGTGTCGTCGTCGTCGCTGGGGCACCGAGCCCGAGCGACGCAAGACTCATCATGACGTCGTTCGAGATGGCGCTGTCGGTCGTCTCCAAGTTGGTCGCGGCGCTGTCGGGTCGCCACCCGCACTGGAACCGCTTCCAAATGTTGGGAAAACACGTATCGAGGAGCGACACACTATGACAGATCACGGCGATGAGTCGTTCGACAGGACACCAATCGATGACGAGACCTCGAGCTGGACCCGAGCGACGTCGAAATCGACGAGCTCATTTCTTTCTTAAGCGCCAGGAGCACTTGGTGCATCTTGCTGGCGCCTTGGTCGAACGCCGTGCGGATTGTCGCGGCTCTATATCCATTCCGTCAGCTCGATCCGATCGAAATATCGCTTATAGACTGTACTCTTTCGCCGTGACGTTGCCACCGAGGTTCGAAGCGGGGTCCAGTGGGTCCATGACGTTGAAATATTTGACCTACAGACACGACCATGAGAAAATGTCATGGTTCGCCGCTCGGTGGACCTCGAACTGCAGCATCTTGTTATGCATCTCCGCCTCGTACTCCTCGGGCGCGTCCGTGGCGAGGTGGCAGGACCGAAACTCTTGCAGCGTCGCGGGCTGCAAGAGCAAATCCCGGGCGTGGCACGGCGGCTTCGGCGCCTTCAAGATGCATCCGAGGTCGCGCGGCCCATCGATCGAGACGCAAAAGTCGTCCCACGGAAACGAGCTGTACGTGCCAAAGAAGCGCCCTACGGCCTGGAGCGGGTGGTGCAGCGACGTGTGGAAGAGGTTGAAGACGTAGAGCATGAGCACGGCGACCGTATGCGTCGAGAGCAGCGCCGAGAGCTTATAGTCGGTGATTGAGACGTTCGTACCGCTCTCGTAGACCAGCCAGCCTTGCGCGAGGAGGACACTGCGCTTGAAGAGGTGGTTCTTGCCAATGAGACGGTCCATGGCCTCGAGGAAACACGCATTGCGCACGTCGTGGACGGCGCCATAGTCGATGAGCACCGAGACCTTCCCGACACAGCACCGGAGCTTGGGCGCACTCGCGTCGTGAACCAGCTCGACGTTGCGAATCATGAGGTCGTCCGCACACGGCGCACTCGACGACGCGACGCAAAGCGCTTCGTTGAGCTTCATGTACCATAGCGGCTTGTCGCTTGGCGTCGTAGCGTGCTGTGGCGGCAAGAAGACGCTCATCTTGAGCTGGCAGTCGGGCAGAAACATGCGCGCGGCCGAGACGCCCGACACAAACGCTTGGGCGCCCAGGACGCGCTTGACCATGCACGCGACGACGTTGCATGCCTTGAGCCGGTGGCAGACCGCGCTGGGCGTCGGTGCCAACATCGACACGATGCGTCCGAGCCGCATGTCGACGGCGCACGGCAGCGTGTTGGACGGTACCCACGCGCACGCTGCGGTGGCCGCGCACGCCGCCATCGACGTTGACGGCCCGTGCATCGAGTGCCGCGACGCCGAGAAGAGCCCATTGGTCGTGTTTTCCCAGACGGCGCAAGACGAGTACGTGTCGCCGCTGGACGGCAGCAGCAGCGAAGGAAACGCATTCGACTCGAACGCGCTAAACGACTTGGTCGCGGTCGCAGGCTTGGAGCTTGATAAGGTATGGATCAGCGTCGACTGCCGGCCGACAGTCGCCTCGAGCTGCTTGAGCTGACCAGTGAGCTTGGCGATCGTCGTCGCGTTCATCTCGAGTCGGTCGTGAAGGGGTTTGGCGTGCGTCAAGAGCGCGAGGTACCCGAGACCATTGTCAAAGAAGGCCGTAAAGTCAGCGTGCGCATAGGGCCCCGGCGCCCGCACGACGCGCTGCAAGATGCCGTTGAGCTCCGCAAAGACGTCGACGAGCCGAGTGTGTTCAAGGTGGACGCCTGCGAACGGCGGCAGGTCCATGCACTCACGCGCCTAGTGGGATAGCTTCAGAGATTGCTCTTGCTCGAGCAGATAAGTCTCTACCTTGGCGTACATGCGGGCAAACTGGCCAATGCAGCGCTGGACGGTCCAAGTTGTGTCCCGGAGCGAAATGCGGAGGCCAAACGTGAGCTGTGGAATGTCGTCTCGCATTGCTTCGTCACTTGCGGACGGTGGCTGCAGCACGACGGTGATGTCGCGTGCGAGTTCCTTGGCCACGTCCATCTCGAGCAGCTGCTGCGCAAGGACGGCCTTGGTAGGCATCGGACACGCAACCTCGGTGGGCGACGCGCGGAGGCTATACCAGCCATCGCCAATCTCCGAGACGAGCTGCGCGCGCACGAGATGCGTGAGTAGGACTGGCGGCGGCGACCGCTTGACCGCCATCGACACGGGGAGCGCGTGCATGTACTGGAGAACCCACGCAACGAACGCATCGCGCTGAAAGCAGAGCGCATGGCCAGCGCGGTCTAAGAGAGCCATGGACGGCGGCCGTAAGCCATGGCTAGGCGTCGTTGCCGGCAAGAGGTGGTCGACAAACAGTTTGAGGTCGGGTTGCGACGGCGCGTCGTCGGTGTCGCCGATCGAGAGGCCGGGCGGGCCGGCGGAAAGCGTGCGCGGCTGCAGAAAGGGCGGCGGCGCGGACGAGGACGAGGCTGCGCGGGGCTTGGCCTTGGAGCGCATCTTGTCGCGCTCGGCGAGGAGCCGGCGGCGCTGCGCCTCGAGCGCGGACGTCGCTGTCGAGGCCATGCGACGGGTTTTTTATACTACGAGCCTCAGCCGTGATTGGTCAAAAACCGAGAAATCTGAATTGCTGCGAATTCCGAAGTCCGAAGGCGACTTCAGCAACAGCCGCAGTGTCCCAAATATCGCTGTGATGAGTTTATGAACGGCGTCGTGATTAGTTTATTGACGGCGAATACGCTATCGACCACAGGCAACGTGGCCTGGCCGCTCACAGAACTTGGTGGTGGTCAGCACAAAGCTACCGGTAGTACAACAGGTATCACCGTGTATGTCGGGCTCAACCGAAAATTATGCAAAAATTGGGTGGCACGGTACGCAGAGATTCCTTTTTAGTGCACCCCAACGTACCCC